CTTGGGCTAATACTTTCCTTGTGTCTTTGGTGTTCTTCATTCTCCTTTGCTCCAGGTGGGTTGAGACCAATTGACGCATCTTAGATGGCCACTCACTAGCTTTTAAGACCCCAGATGCCACTCACCAAAGTGGGATGCAGAACATTTTCTTAATAAACTTTGTTATGCCAATTGACCTAGATGTCATCTGAAAGCATAGTCCCCAGACCTCCGCCCCTGCTACTCTGTCCCTCAAAGTTTTGGTTATATTCAGGAAACTTCTTAGCTTTTGGTTTAGTCTAGTTGTGCTGACTTCCCCTGTAGTGTGTTGTCCTTCCCTTCACCTAATTCTTGTCTACTATCTAGCAAGTGAATACCCCTCTCCCTCCCTCCCCACCCTCATAACCATCAAAGAATGTTTTCTGCTGTATTTAAACCTTTTCTTGAGTTCTTGTAATAGTGGTCTTATACAATATATTGTCCCTTTGCAACTAAATTCACTCATCATAATGCCATCCAGATTCCTCCATGTTATGTTTCACAGATTCATCGTTTTTCTTTATCGTTGCATAGTATTCCATTGTGTGAACCACCTCATTTCTGCTTCCAGGATCAAGCACCCCAACATCGTAGCCCTGGATGACATTTATGAGAGTGGGGGCCACCTCTACCTCATCATGCAGCTGTGAGTGGCCCTGCCTCTACCCCTTCCCTGGCCTTCCTGCCTCCCCTAGCCAAGGGGACCTGGTCCCTCCATCCCCACTCTCTTGGCCAGACTGCCTTATACCTGGCTGCAGGGTGTCGGGCGGGGAGCTGTTTGACCGCATCGTGGAGAAAGGCTTTTACACAGAGCGGGACGCCAGCCGCCTCATCTTCCAGGTGCTGGATGCCGTCAAATACCTGCATGACCTGGGCATCGTTCACCGGGATCTCAAGGTGGGGCGTGAGGGTGTGTGGTAGGCGGGGGCCCAGGGCTCAGGCATCCTCACTGTATGTCTTTGGGTAATAACTCTCACCCCTCGCTGAGCCTGGGCTTCCCACCTGCAATAAGGACCTTGTAATCCTTAAACTGCCTTCTCTCCTTCTCCCCATTAGGACACTCAAATCAACATAAAGGTGAATTGTGCTGCTGTTTTATCCAAATAACATTTTATGTCTTTTTCTGATAATGAAAGTCCCACTTGCTCTTTGTAGAAAACTTGAATGGGACAGAAAAGAATAAAGAAGAAAGCCAGAAGTTCCCAAACTCCTATTATTCAGAGCTAATGATGGGATTCACATTTTTAGTACATCTCATTCTAGCTGAGGAGAAGAGTGCTGGGCTCAGACAGATCTATGTTTGAATTTTGGCCCTGCTACTTTCTAACTGTGGGTTCTTGGGCAAGTCACTTTGCTCTCAAGCCTCAGTTTCCTCATCTGTAAAATGGGATTATTCAGACTGACCTGGCATGGATGTGGTAAGGACAAAGTGAAATCAAACACTAAGACAGGGTATGGCACACAGTAGGTACTCAAAGATTATTTCTTTTGGACTTCACAATACACACCTGAGGTTTACAGAAAATTCCCTCCCCCACCTCCTCAGACCTTTGTCCTTTCTGGAACTTTAAACTTTCTTAAGAACTTCCTTGAGATTCTTGTGCTCTAACCAAGATGGCAGCCATGAAGCCATGTGGCTTTGTAGGGGGCATTGTTTCTCAAGGCATGCTTGGGGAAGTAGAAGGTTCTACCAGCCTCTGGCCACCTCTGACTGCTCCTTCTTCTTCTTCCCACCCTCCAAGCCAGAGAATCTGCTGTACTACAGCCTGGATGAAGACTCCAAGATCATGATCTCCGACTTTGGCCTCTCCAAGATGGAAGACCCAGGCAGCGTGCTCTCCACTGCCTGCGGGACCCCAGGATACGTGGGTGCGGAGGGCCCTGGGCTGGGGCCAGGGGCAGGGGAGGAAGCAGGCACTGCAGGGCAGAGATTTATCACCACCATATCCCCTTCCCTCCACAGCCCCTGAGGTCCTAGCCCAGAAGCCCTACAGCAAGGCTGTGGATTGCTGGTCCATTGGGGTCATCTCCTACATCCTGTGAGTGGGGGCTTGGCCACCGGGGAATGTGGCTACAGAGTGGTCCTCTTCCTACTTTCCTCCCTTCCTCCCCTCTGCCCTTTCTTCCTTCTCTCCATATTTATATCTACCAATTCATCACTTACTTCATTCAGTAACTATTTATTTAGCACCTTCTATGGGTCAGGAGAGGAGCCCTGGTGGGGTTTGTGAGTGGCACAAATGTTTAAACCCTCAGCAGATAACCAAAAGGTTGGAGGTGTGAATCCACCCAGAGGTATCTGGAAGAAAGGCCTGGTGATCTACTTCACAAAACCAGCCATGAAACCCTTGTGGAGCATAGTTCTACTCTGACACACATAGGGACACCATGAGTCAGAATCAACCTGCCAGCAACTGCTTTGGTTTTGTATGTTTCAGGCACTGTGCCAAGTCCCGGGGATTTAGCAGAGAACAAAACAGACAAAGAGCCTGCCCTCAGGGAGCTGATATTCCAGTAGGGGAAACAGACAATAAACAAGTAAACATATTATGTTAGGTGGTAAAAGGTGCTATGAAGAAAAATTGAGCAGCGGTAGGGGGTGGGGATGGATGCCATTTTAGATGAGGAGGTTGGGACGTCTTCTCTGAGGAGGTGAGATTTGAGTGGCATCCTGGATGAAGCGAGGGAGCCAGCTGTTTGAGGTCTGGGGGAAGAATGGTTTAGCAAAGGCCTTGAGGAGGGAAAGGTCAGGGCATGTTCACAGAACAGAAAGAAGGCCAGTGTAGCCAGACAGGAGTGAGCAAGGCAGAGAGGGCTAGTATCCCCCTTTGTAAAAGGGGGCGCTCCTACCTGTGGTTCCTGCCTGACTCCCAGGATTGCCCTACAGCTCCATCCTGGAGCCCACAGGCACACTGAATGTGGAAATGAGGATGGGTTTCTTCCTGCCCAGGCTCTGCGGTTACCCCCCCTTCTATGACGAGAATGATGCCAAACTCTTTGAACAGATTTTGAAGGCCGAGTATGAGTTTGACTCTCCTTACTGGGACGACATCTCTGATTCTGGTACGTGGGGCTTTGCCTTCCTCCCCAGGGCCCTGCCACTGGTGCCTTTATCCGTTTTGGGAGTTGCCATTTCCCCAGCTCCAGTCTAAGAGCTGGCTTCAGGCCCAGACACCCCTGCCTGGCCCCAGCCTGAGACACTTGTAGGCGTGCATTCACTCATCCTTTAAACATAGTATTTTTGGAAAAGACCTCCCCCTACTGACTTCCTAAGGCCTCAAACACCACAAAATTTTTTATCCCTCCTTCTGTGTCCCTATTAGGAAGCAAACTGTGAAGCTACCATCAATCATTTACACATCTTTTCTAAAAACTAGTTTTTTTTCTTGGAGAAAGGAGAGGGCTTAGAGATAAGAGCACAGATGAGGTGGGCAATGCATGGACAAATCTGGCCTCATCTTGCTTTGATGCCAAGCCAGACCTGAGGGGGTGGGCTCAGTCTTGGGGTGCCCACATGCACCCCCACTCTGTCCTTGCTTTGTCTTGGGGGTCCAGCCAAAGATTTCATCCGGCACTTGATGGAGAAGGATCCAGAGAAGAGGTTCACCTGTGAGCAGGCCTTGCAGCACCCATGGTGAGCACTTCTACAAGCTGATGGCTGGGGTGGAGTCTGGGGCCCCAGGCCTGCCTCTGCCTCTCACAGGTCCCTCCACATACCCCATCCTAGGATTGCAGGGGATACAGCTCTAGATAAGAATATCCACCAGTCGGTGAGCGAGCAGATCAAGAAGAACTTTGCCAAGAGCAAGTGGAAGGTGAGACCACGTCCCAAGTCCTGGGTTCCAGCCTCCCCTGAACCCCTGCCCCACCCCCTACTATCCAGGCCTAGGATCACACAGCACCTAACACCAATTGGGGTACAGTAACCGCTCAGTGATGCTTACCGAAGGCTCTCATTCATTCACTCATTCACCAAACATTGATACCTATTCTATTCCAGACAGAGATGGATTACCCAATAAATAAGGTATGCATGGGCTTACCTGTGCTTACCTACTAATCTGTAGTGCACAATTTCACATGGGCTTTACCACATCCAGTGAAAATGTGCACTACAGATTAGTAAGCACAAGAAAGCCCATGCATACCTTGCTTACTGGTTAATCTGCCCCTGAATGATCCCTGTCCTCCATGTCTATAGAGGGAGAACAATCTGTAATTCTTAAGGAAGCATCTAATCAAGCCTAAGGGGTCCAGAAAGAGTCATACAGGTGGTATGGTGTTAGACCTAACAGTTGAGTAGGAATTAGCCAGGCAAAGTGGAAAATGTGAGGCAGAGAGAACAGGTGTGCAGAGGGCCAGGGGCAAGAGAGTGTGTCTATTCAGGGAAGTTCAAGTGCTGAGCCTGCTGGACTGGAGGGGCTTAAGGGGATGAGGAGCAGGAGCCAAGGCTAGACAGGCAGGCAGGGCCTGGCCATTCAGGGCCTCAAATGCCACAGTGGAGCACTGCCTTGATCCTGAGGGAGCTGAGGGGCCCCAGAAGGATTTAAAGCAGGCATTTGCCCATTGAAAGGGCTCTCAGGATGCAGAGAGTGGCATGGAGTGAAGATTGGGAGACCCATTAGGAGGCAGTAGCAGAGATGCAGGCAGGAGGCGGTGGGGGCTTGGACCAGAGCAGTAGCAACAGGAAAGAACAGTGGTTGATCAATCAAGAGTCATTTAGGAGGTAGAACTGACAAGATGTGATGATGGAATGGATGTTGGGGGAGAGAGAAGATGTCAAGGAGTGGTCCAGGTTTCTGGGTGGGGACACAGTGGACAGTGGTACAGTCATGGAGATGGAGATCCCAGGGGCAGAAACAGGTCTTGGTGGGATGGTTTTAGTTTTGCACATGGTGAATTTGAGGGGCCTGTGGGGGGATATCTACATGGATGTGTTGAATACACACACACACACACACACCCGGGCAAGTTACTTAACCTCTGTGCCTCAATTTCCTCCTTTGAAAATGGTGAATTAATAGTGCCTACCTCAAAGGAGTTTTGTGAAGATTAAATGAATTACTATGTAAAGTGCTTAGAGCGGTGCCTGACACATAATGCTATATAAGTGTTTGCCATTACATATAAATATGAATTAATTATATATAGTTATATATGCCTGTTTATATATACATTCTTATATATGTATATGTACGTGTAAATATATGATTGAATATAATTTAATAAAGCGTTTGAGGAACCCTGGTGGCACAGTGGTTAAGAGCTTGGCTGCTACCCAGAAGGTCCGCGGTTCGAATCCACCAGCCGCTCCTTGGAAACCCTATGGGCAGTTCTACTGTGTCCTGTAGGGTCGCTGTGAGTCTGAATCGACTCAATGGCAATGAGTTTGGTTTTTGGGGTCTTTTCTGTGGGGTCTTAGGGGATCAGTAAATAACACTGGAATGAAAATAACAGAACCATTACAAGAATCCCACCACCAGCCCCTGCCCCATGACCCACCCCCCCTCAAAAGCCCCCTCTCCCCTCTCTCCCCACAGCAAGCCTTCAATGCCACAGCTGTGGTGCGGCACATGAGGAAGCTGCACTTGGGCACCAGCCAGGAGGGGCAGGGACAGATGGCGAGCCATGGGGAGCTTCTGGCACCGGCAGTTGGGGGTGAGGACTGGGGCTCTGTGGAGTACATGGGTGGTCCACACAGAGGCACCCAGGCTGGAGTGGAGGGTCTGTCCCCGCAGCCAACTCTGTTCTCTCTTCCCATGCTAGGGCCAGCGGCTGGCTGCTGCTGTCGAGACTGCTGTGTGGAGCCTGGTCCAGAACTTTCCCCCACGCTGCCCCACCAGCTCTAGGCCCTGGAGCCAGGGGTCTGCATCTCCTGCCTGGGAGGGGCTGGCGGACAGTCTGCTCCCCTTTCCTCCCTGAACTGGGGAGTTACCCTGCCTCATCCCCTCCCCACTCCCTTCCCTACTTCTCCTCCATTGCATTTTCCATACAAATGTTTCTATTTTATTGTTCCTTCTTGTAATAAAGTGAAGAGGATAAAACCACAGGTAGCTCTGTCTTCCCAGAGCCCCAACCCAACCCTGTTGTGCAAACTGACTACCTGATTTGGGGGTGCCTGAAGATTGGGAGACAACAGCTGCAGGGAGCCCCCTCCTCTACATGCACGTGGGTGGGAAGAGGGGAGAGAAATGGGGAAACGTGTTTGGGGATTCCTTTGTTCAGTGCTTCCACCTAGCCTTCTGGCCCTTTGGAACCCCTTCTGCGCTTTGCTGGTGGCTCCTGAGGACGGTGGGGTTGGCGCAGGTCAGCACTGAACAGCACCTGTGGGAGCAAGGAGTTCGTGTGGGGAGAGGGTTATACTGGGGTCAGGGCTGGTGGCAAGTGTGAGGAGATAGAGGAATCCATGGGGAACAGGGCTGGGAGCAACAAGAATCCATGCGGAGATGGGTGCAAGTCCACTGGGGTCAGGACTGGGTGGTTGGGTGTCCTTTAGGGTCACTTGGGGTGGTGGTAGAAGAGTCCATCTGGATCAGGGTTGGGTTGCTGGAATAGTCCACTGAGTCAGGGCTGGGGGAGAAATCCTATGGGATCTGGGTTAATGGCTGGAGGGTGGAGGAAACCTGGGTACACTCACCGCTTGGGCCCAGCCAGCATAAGGTCCCCATAGACTCCGGAAGAAGTTTCCTAAACCAGAAATGATGAGTCTAAATTAATTGGCCCCTCTCTCCCCGCTCCCCACGCACAGAGGATGTGGGATTTAGGGAGAGGTGACCAAGAAGGTGAGAGGTTTCTCCCACCTCAACCCCACTGCCAGCCCTACTTTCTCTCCTCACCCAGTTCCTTGTTGGCCGGGGGGCTCGGACCCTTGGCCTGGCTCATGGTGGGGTGCCAGCTGTAGTCATATTGTGCGATATGCCACATGTGGACGTCCACGGGCACAGCCTGGGGCTTGTCTAGGGCCATCAGGCAGATGCAGTCAGCCACCTTTGACAAATACAGAGTGAGCCACTGAGGCTGAATGGCAGGATCCAGCCAGCATCCTGCTTCTAGCCCCAAAGACCAGCTACTGCTTCCTCCACCCTGAGGTTATTATTATTCTATATTTTCAATCAATATAAAAAACCAGTTCCCATCGAGTCGACTCTGACTCATGGCGACCCCATGTGTGTCCGAGTAGAACTGTATTCCAGAGGTTTTTTTTGTAAATTTTTTAAAATGTAATTTTATTTATTTTGTTGTTGTTGCTGAGATATACACAGCAAAACATACACCAATTCAACGGTTTCTACATGTACCATTTAGTGATATTGATTACATTCTTTGAGTTGGGTAACCATTCTAACTCTCCTTTTCTGAGTAGTTCCTCCCTCATTAACATAAACTCACTACCTCCTAAGGTTCCTATCTAATCTGAGTTGCTGTTGTCAATTTGATCCCGTATAGATAGTTCTTAACAGAGTTTAATGCTCAAGGCAGACATTTTCTACTAGTTAAACCAAACTATTGTCTGGTTTTAAGAAGACTTTAGAGAATGTTTTTGGTTTAAGGTTTAAAGATTATCTCAGGGCAAGAGTTTAATCAGAGGTTCATCAAACCTTCATGGCTCCAGGAAGTCTGGAGTCCATGAGAATCTAAATTTCATTCTAAATTGCCACCCCTTTTGATCAGGATTCTTCTATGGAATCTTTGATCAAAATGTTCAGTAATGGTAGCCAGGCACCATCCAGTTCTTCTGGTCTCATGGCAGAGGAAGCAGCTGTTCATGGAAGCAATTAGCCACATATTCCATACCCTCCTCCTATTCCTGACTCTCCTTCCTCTGTTGTTCCAGGTGAATAGAGATAAATTGTTGTGCCTTGGATGGCTGTTTGCAAGCTTTTAAGACCCCAGACACTTCATATTGAATCAGGAGGTAGAACAGAGGCACTAAACATGTTATTAGGCCAATTACCTGGGATGTCCCATGAAACCATGACCCTAAACCTCCAAACCAAGAAACCAAATCCCACGAGGTTTTTGGTTGTACATAATCAGCCTCAGCAGCTACTCGTTCGTTCTTTCTTTCGTCGTTGTTGTACATACGGTTTTCAACGGCTGATTTTTTGGAAGTAGATTGCCAGGCCTTTCTTCTGAGGCACCTCTGGGTGGACTTGAACTTCCAACCTTTTGGTTAGCAGTTGAGTGCATTAACCATTTGCACCACCCAAAGACTCCTTCAATCAATATTCAGTATTAATAATAATAATAATAAAAAGCTATTACAAGAGCTGCTACTGAGTAAGCACCTATGTAAGCTAAGCTCTTATTATAACCTAGGATGAAGGTGTTACCAAACCATTTTACAGACAAGAAAACCAAGGCCTCGAAAGCTGAGGTGCCTTGGCCAAAGTCGTACAGAGCCCATTAAAATTTTTTCTTTAAACAAATTCATTTTTTAAATTACAGAGAAATATGAAGAAAAAAACAACAGATGCTAAATTCTCAATCATCTTACTGCTAGATTACCCTGCTGACATTAAACAAGAAGTTTTATAAGTACTCTGTACGTGTAAATTCAAAAAAGAAAAAGAAAGTACACACATCTTACCATTTGTCTCCTCAAAGATAACCACTGTTAAGTTTCCTGTGATTCCTATGTGTAAATTTCTGCATATATATAGCAGCATATATATGTATCTGAACAAATGGCCTTTCTAAAAATGCATTCAAAGCAGAATGGCCTTTATACCCTTCCAGCACTCGGCATTTTTCTCTAATAAAACATCTTCTTGTGTCCTTTCTCCTTCCTGCTCTGCCTCCAGAAGCAAAGCCTGTACCCAGCTCTCAGGCCTGCCTCGCCTCTTACTCTGTGTCGGTGGTGAGGGCAGCTCTTACTCCCTGGAGCATCACCTTGGTGCCCACCCCAGGCAGGGTACAGAGGGCCTTGTGGGCATGCTCGTAGGGGGCCTCACGCAGCTGCTGCAGCCAGGACGGCCCGCCCTGTTCTTCCAGGATGGCTCGGGCACTGGCACTCACATAGCGGGCACGGTAACCCAGGCCCAGCTTCCGGAGGTGGGCCTCTACCTCGGGCCCTGCGGAGAGTGGGAAGGAGAGCAGGGGTCAGGCGCCCTCACATCCTCCCTGTTCTCTGGCTAATGTGAGCCCTCCACCCCACAGGAATGCTTTTTCTAAGTACCTTGGGAGAGAGTGGACACTTGTATGTGCAAAGGGAAGGGCTAAAGCCTGGGATCTGCTACTCTACAGATGTTTCCTGAGCGCCTCCTATGTGTTGGGAGCTGGAACAGACACTAAGGAGGACTTGCTGCCATGGAAGAGCTCCGCAGTTGAGTTCTTAACCCTTTCCAAAGAGCTTCCACACCCATGATCTAAAGTAGTAAACATAATAACAGTAACAGCTTCTATTATCAAGTGCTAGGTGTTAAGCATTGGCAAAGTGCTTTAGGTATGTGATTGCTTACTTTTCTCAAGGATCCTGAGGATGATACTGCTGTGTTTCCCATTTCACAGATGGAGAAAATGAGGGCTTAGAAGAGGTTAACGAATTTGTTCTTGAAAAGACATGGTGAAGATGGGATCTTGTACCCTGGTCTGGGACACCAACGCCTGTGCTCTTAACCCATTACACTACACTGGCTCACGATTGCTTAATTCTCCCCCAAACCCTCCTAGAGAGAAACTCTTTATTTTTTATTTTATTTTATTGTTGTACTTTAAGTGAAAGTTTACAATTCAAGTTAGTCTCTCATACAACAATTTACGCATACATTGTCATGTAACCTTAATTGCTCTCCCTATACTGTGACAACACACTCCTCCTTTCCACCCCTCATTTTGCAAGTCCATTCAACCAGCTCCTGACCCTCTCTGCCTTCTCATCTCACTTCCGGACAGGGGTTGCCCATTTAGTCTCATGTATCTACTTGAGCTAAGCACACTCTTCACGAGTACTAGAGAAAAAGTCTTATCTCCATTCTACAAACAAGTTAAGAGAAGCTTGGAGAAGTTAATGAATTCCTTGAGGTCTTATAACTACTAGGATGAGAGCTAAGACTCAAGACTGGGTTTCCAGGCACCAAAAGCATGCTCTTTTCTCTAGACAGGCTGTCTCCTCGCTATGCAATCCTCAAGAATTTCCCCTTGCTTGGTTCTCATATCTGTCAACTGATATACTTGCTTCTGTAAAATACTTGCCTCACCAGGCTTCTGTGTGTTCTTAGATGCAAAATTGTTGGGTTCACTGCAGAGATGGCAGCTTGAATCTTCTGCATACTTCTTCCATGCCAAATACTGTGCAAGGTGCATTATGCACTCTTTTATCGACCCTTATGACAACTCTGATAGGTAGAAGCTATTATTATTCCATTTCACAGATGAAGAAACTGAGGCACAGAGAGGCTAAATAACGTGCCCAAGATCACATAGCTAGAGGTCAAGTGGCAGAGTTAGGATTCAGCCCAAGCGGTTTATCTCCAGAGCCCATGCTTTCAACCCCTACACTATACACTATATACCATATATGGATGTTGGCAATGGTTTTTTCTGATAAGGCATTGAACCCATGGGGCAAAAATCACAGACTAATGAGTTGCTGGCATTTTAGGGATAGACTGAGAAGATGAGGCATAATTAGGGCTGATCAGACCAGGCAGGGTGATTCTGGATGGGGCAGTGTTTGGGAAGATGGGAAGTTTTGAGATGGTGACAGGGAAAGCTGATGGAGGGTCTGGGCACAGGGGACCCATCCACTCACCAGCCAGGGCCTGCAGGCTAGGGAAGCCATGATAGGTGATATCATCAAGCTGGACAAGCCGAGGTCCGAAGGCCTGGCAGAGCCGCTCTACCATGCCAGTGATGCGGGTGATGTTGTTGTTGGAGGAGCAGATGAAGGAGAAGAGACACTCGATGGGGTCCTGCCGCAGAAGCCGCACACCTGGGGGCCAATAAGGTAGGAAGTAGGAGAAACACCTGCTTTTGGGAGAGGCCTCTTCCCACCCACAGATCCTAGGCACCAAGGCTCCAGGGAGATCCAGGAAATGAGGGACAGCATAATTAGAGAAAGTAACACTAGGCCTCTCATTCATCATAGCATCTTGTAAGGTATGGGTTATCATCTCATTCCATAGATGAAGAAGCCCCATGTAAGTACCGTGAGGGCAGGGATTTAGGTCTGTTTTGATCATTGCCATACCCCTAGTCACACAGCAGATGCTCTGTAAATATTTGCAGAATGAATGAGATACCTGCTCCAGGTCACACAGCCAGGATTTGACTCAATAGCTTTGTCATTCCACTATGGTGATCAGCAGAATAATAGTAGTAATAATTAACATGTGCCACGCACTTTTCTAAGCAATTTACATTCTCATAAAATACTAACAGGTAAGCTTAATCTCCACTTGGTTGTTATTAGCTAACGAGTTGGCCCCAACTCATGGCAACTCCATGCACAATGGATCAAAATGCTGCCTGATCCTGCCCCATCCACCCCCAACTCATGGCAACCCATGCACAATGGATCAAAATGCTGCCCAGTCCTGCACCATCCCCATGATTGGTTGCAGATCTGACCGTTGTGATCCATAGGGTTTTCACTGGCTAATTAGACTGCCAACCCTTTCTTCCTAGTCTGTCTTAGTCTGGAATCTCTGCTGAAACTTGTTCAGCATCATAGCAACACACAAGTTTCCATTGCCAGACAGGTGGTGGCTGCACATGAGGTGCATTGACCAGAATCAAACCCCGGTCTCCTACATGGAAGGTGAGAATTCTATCACTGAACCACAACTGCCCCATTAATCTCCATTTTACAAATGGGGAAACTGAGTCACAGAGAAGTTAAATGTAGCTTGAACAAAGTATAAGAACCCCAACTCCTGCCCCAGGTCCTGTACTCACCTTGGAATTTCTGGGCCACCTCTTGGAAGTGGGGGTCCACGGAACCCCAGTGGTAATACAGTTGAGCCAGGCTGACGTCCAGCTGGAAGTAGCTGCGAATGGCCTGCAGCTCCTCTTGCGTGGGCTTGCCTACCTGGCCCTTGTTCCCTCGGTACACGGTGCAGTAGAGCTGCTCCTCCGTCTGGGTCAGTGTCCATACTTGGTCCGCCAACACGCCACTCCAGTGCGCAGGGCTTTGCTCCCTCCACCTGAGCCCCCAGGCACAGCCCTCGTACTCAGTTTCCCTTCCTGCACCCTTTCTGGTCCCTCCCATCCGACAACCACTCCATTTACAAAACTTATTTGCTAATTGCAAAGTAAAAGTACTTTCTTTGACATCGGTTCTCTCTCTCGATACGCACAACACTGCACAGAAGGCTAACTATCTCTACTGTTTAGAGGAAACAGGCTCGCCACCTGTGTCTGTTTCTCTCGTCACCCCCAACATTCCTGTGCACCCCAGAAAGAGCCAAAATCAAAGGTCACAAAAGAGGATCCTCCCAGGCGCAGTCACTCACCGGAAGGACTGTCCAGAAGCCAGAACCAGGTCCAGGCGCAGCTCAGAGCGCGGACAAGGAATGGAGGCCCAGAGAGCGGGGGCGGAGGATAAAGTACGATGACCCATACTACTGGGCAGGAGGGAACGGACTAACATTTACACACAAGGCTCCGCCTTCTAACGGCCGCCTCCACTCAGCACTGGACCAACTTGTCACCGTACGACCCCGCCCACACAAGACCCGCCCCCTTATGGTCTCGCCCACCGGGACCTTGTCTTCCTTAATTTTATTCAAGACCCCGCCCAGTTTCATTTAATTCCTCCATTCCTTGCAGGCCCCGCCCTTTGCAGCTCACCAAAGTCCCGACCCTCCCACTCTGTAACCACCTCCTGCCCCTCAAAAAAAAGCCATTGCGGTCGAGTCTATTCCGACTCACAGCGACCCTATAGCATCCTGCATTCTTGGCGGTGCAGGTCCCGACCTTCCTCTTTACGTTTCCGGGCCCCGCCCCCCACGGCCTTTGAGAGCGCGCCACCTCTGCAGGAGCTGCAAAGACCTTGGGAGGCATGCGCTAGAGCATTCTTCCGGCTTCGCCAGGGCCGACGACGTTATCACCGGAAGTAGCACTCAGGCCCCACCTATTTGATCCAGAGATAGCCAATCCGAGGAGGAACTAAGAAGCGCCAATGAGTAATCGGGCATGAGGGTAGATGGGCGGATCCATCCGAGGCGCCGAAGTGGTTGGCGCGCTCTGGGCTCGCTGCCCGATGTTGGCCTTTCCGTCTCTGGGTCGTCTGCACTCGGCACGCTAGATGTCCCATCTCCGCGTCCCAGAGGACCGGGCGCAGATTGTGTAGCCCGGAGTCCTCACTGCCTGTTCCTCTCAGAGCACTTCGAGTCCTCAGACCCAGGTCCTGGTCCCAGTCCGTTCTCTAAGACCTCAGAGCGCCTTTCTCCACCGAGTCTCTTCAGTCTCAGATACTTGCGCCCCTCAGTGCGCCTGACGTCGTGAAGCTTCTTCACCAAGAATCGGACCCGAACACAGCTCCGTCCCCTCCAAGTGTCCGTGAAGTGTCTCCGCAGGCGTCTGTCACCTGAGGATTCTGCCCTCAGCACTCACCCGCTAAGCTTCTCGCCTCCAAGGTCTCACGGAGCCGCGACTCCGCAGTCTTAGTCTGCCTCCACAGACTGCCCTTCAGAGGCCTCTCTCTTCCGGGAATCACACCTGTACGCTGAGTGGGGCCTGTGTAGAGGCTTCCTTTGGGGCTGGGCCCAGACAAGCAGCTCATTACTTGGAGTCTTGGTTTTTAAGTCCCCAGGGACAAATATGTGGCCCTGAGGCAGCCTAGCTCAGTTGCCAGTGCCAGCCACCTGGGCCCAAGAAAAATGTATTCAGATTTTTTCCTTTCAAGAGAAAGACACAAAAAGCAGGGACATAGAAGACATGAACTTTATCCAGACTATTTTCACTTTCTAGCAGTGATACTCGGTTGTGTCTGAACAATTATACTGCAAGTTCTTTAAGGGCACGATCTGCAGTTATCTTTGTGTCCCACAGCACCTCTCATGGTGTACCATGAGCATTGGATCATCAGACCAACGTGTTTGTCTCGGTTCCACTCAATAGCTGCAAGGCCTTAGGCAATTATTTTTTCCTGAGATTGTCTCCTCACTCATAGGCATACCACCCTGCAATGCCTAGCGCTCAGAAGGCATTTCTTCAATAAATGTTGCTTGAATGACAATAGAAGGTGCCAAGGTTGGGAATGAATGAAAAGGAAACTTCTTAGTCTTACTATGCCCTCAGCAAAGCTGGGGGAGGGGGATGGGGAGGTCACAGCCACAGTGGCTCTGAAGCACTTGGGCCATCCTACTGCCAAAGGACTTGAAGTGTCTGAAGTCCACAGAGGAATATGCAGTTGACTCTTCCTCCACCTTCAACAGTTCAGCATACAGACCTGAGTTCAAATCCTAGCTCCGCAACTTCCTAGATGTCAGAATTTAGGCAAGTTACTTAATTTTTCTAAACCTTAGTGTCTTCGTGGGAATAACCACTCTATTATTAACCTACTCCATAGAGTTATTGCAAGGATTACATAAAATTGTGTATCTAAAGGTGCTTTAGCACAAGGCCTACCGCTCATTAAGTGGATGGAAACAGGCGCTATCATATTATTTTTGCTGTTGTCTTGTAAATGCAGCATGCACAGCAGCTAGCAACCACTTGGGGCCAATTTACCATCCCTGGGGGGAAAACCTCCCTTTTTACCCCTTTTCCCTGGCAGAAGGCAAAAACCAAGAATTCCAAATAGACCATTTATTTTCTAAGAATCAATATATTTTCTTCCTTTGAAATAAATACAAACCAGTTTGAAAGGGGGAGGGGGGAGTATCTGTGGGAAGGAGAAAGGAAGTGGGGACAGGCCCCGGATTTTTTTTTTTTTTTTAGTACCAAATGACTCTGGCGCGACCGGGAAACGCAGTTACAAATGAGAATAATTTAAATTCTCCGCTAATTACAGTATTTACAACAGCAGGGGAGGGGGTCACCTAGTGCCCCTCTTCCAGGCTGGACAGACATCAATCCCACTGCTAGGCTGGGCAGATGCCCGCTCACCACACCACTTGCAGGGGCCTCAGGCCTCTAGGCAGTTACGGAGTCTCCTGGCACGAGTAGACAGAGGTGGTAGGATGGCCTGTTTTATGCAGTGTCCTAACCTTGGCCCACCACCATGCCCTATAATGCCATGAGGTCTCTGGGGCTCTTTCTGGCCTGTGGACCACCCCTCTACTTGCCCAGAGCCGCCATGGGCCCTTGGAGTATTCTGTACAGTCCAGCTGCACTTAGAGCGGGAGGGACCTCCCCCGCCCAGCTTCCCCTGAGACTGGCCCCAAGACCAGGAATGAGTCAGTGCAGAGGCCGGTGCCATTCCAGGATAGTGAGCAGAGGGGAGGAGAGAGGTCGCAGGACACTGTGGGTTGGGCTGTGCTGGGCAACATCAGTCACTATCACTGGTCTCGCTGCTCTGCTCACCCTGCACCTTGCTGCGGTGCTGCAGAGCCCTGTGGTAGGCGATCTGCACTGACTTTCGGATGTTGGACTTGCGGCCCTCCAGCATCTTCTCCTTGTCCAGGTCCTGGTTCACCCCCAGAGGAACTAGCTTGGTCCTGGGCAGCCACTGCCTGTAGGATGAAGTGAGGATTAAATAAATCACCTCAGGGAGAGCAACAAGCACCAGCCTTCCTTACTTGTTCATTCATTCAAACATACCTTCAGAGCACCAACACTGGGCCAGGTTCTGTAGGGGACACTGGGACTGCAGGGGCCAATAGACACAGTCCCTGCTCTTAAGAAACTACTCACAATCTAGTGATGAAGACAGCCCAGTCAACGGTCACACTAGTGAGTAACCACAGGTATTTATGGGCACAAAAAGGAGGAGCCCTAACCTAACCTGAAATAGGTACACTGTCCCATAGGCTTCAGGCAGACTTTACTGACACTTAATCTACCCTCAGACAACTCACAAAAAAACTAGATATGTAAATATGACAGAAAAGAAATTCAGAGCATGAATGTTGATGCCTGCTTTATCCCCATCTTGTCACCATGGAAGCAGAGGTGGAAAAACTAAGTCTAGAAGCCATCTGAGTCTGGGCAGGGAGCCACCCCTGTATTTGTCACAGTCATCAATGATCCTCTGGTCTCTAGCTATAGCTGTTGTCAGCTGCTGCCCATACAGCTTCTCAGACTCCTGGTCAACACGATCCTTTAGCTCAAAGATCTGCTCTAAGTCTGTACTGCACCGCTATAAGTGATAGCCCAGTCTGTGTGTTGCTGGCGTTCCCAGCAACCACATAGGGTTGCATCTGTGGCTATGAGTCACACCAAATGCCCCCCTACTCCCTTACCAGGTTCGCTTGTTGTCAAAGAAGAGGACGAGGTAGAGATGCTCTCGGGCTTCCTGGGTCATCTGCTCCCCAAGTTTCAGCACCTCCAGTGGGGGCACAGGGATGGGAACCCCATGGTGGAACATACCCTCCCGGGGCATCTTTGGATCAATGATCTGAGGGTGTAATAAGAATCTGGTTTGGTTCAGTCCACTTCCTCCCCAAAGCCTGCCCTGCCCAAGAATTTAGAGACTATCCCTGCAGTGGGGACAGAGAAAGGTTATCATATTGCTAAAGCTGCAACGCTGTCCCTTGGCTTCTTCCTGTGCCAAATTGTTCTAGAGCCCAAGGAGCAAGGGGACAGAAAAGAGATGGAGAACTAACTGGAGGCCTCTAAGTGGTACACAAGCTGCATCTGCCCATCAGTTTGTTTGCTAAGAACTCCTGTGCTCTGCAGCTTAGCAGGGGTCAGGAAAAATCTGCTTATTTTGAGTCCTGCATTCTGGGATTGAAAGGCAAGGGGCATGACAGAGGAGAAGGGGAAGCCTACCAGAGCCGGGTATGATGGATACCCTCTGCATTTGGCCCACACAAGGTCCAGAGCGTCCAGGGGGGAGTCCTCATCCTCCGACAGCCAGCCAGCTCCCCGGCCCAGACTCTTCCTCACCACTTCACAGGAATGGGAGAGAGGGGGCGGATTAGCAGCTGGGGGACTGGCGAGGCCCTGACACTGGGCACCCAGCATCCCTGGCCTTGGGCGAGGGTACTTACTGCTGTGGCCCACGCCGCGGCCAGTGCCCACGGAGTAGGCCTCGTTCTCAGTGCCTGAGGTATCCTCACTGCTGTCCTCTGGGAACGTGCCCCGAGAGAAGGAGGGCTTGCCCCGGCCTTGTTTTGAGGGCGTTGTGCTGTGAGCAAGACACAGAAGCGCACTCAAGGGAGGGGAGGAGTGAAGAGTGGTATGGTGGGTATCTTCTCCTCTTTAAGCCTCAAGGTCCTAGACATTTGGAAAGCAGAGGCTACACACGGAGTTTCAAACTCAAATGTCCTCAAGGGCCAGGCTGATGATCTGACTGAAGAAGTGGCCTGGTTTAACAGTGTAACAGTGGTGGGGATAAGTGCATACCCTATCTAAAGGTAGCAGCCACTACTCAGCTCCAACCTGATGCCACTTGGCCATACTGGTCAGATTTGCCAGATCTTCTAATTTTTTAAAGCGAATACAGAAACTGAGAATTTTTCATGGCATTTCCGGATCCATTTTTTTAAAAGACACCATGCTAGCCAAACAAAATATGTCTGTAGGTCAAATCCAGGCCATAGTCCACCAGTTTACACCCTCTGCTCCAAACCATTAGCTTAACCCAGGATGGTTCTCTCAGTTCCATTATGGTGATGCCCTAATCTATTCCATTTAATTTGCAGAGAACCTTGAGTTTGAGCCATTTGAATCTAGGCTGAGATGGCTGCCACCCACTTCCAGCGGGGAAACCTGGAAACGCTGTGAGCCCTGGAAGGGCACCCTAGAGACGGGCCTTGATCTACAGGGCTGGTACCTGGTTCGGTCTGAGGCAGCGCTGCTGCTGCTACTGCTGCTAGACTCAGAGTCTGAGCTGCTCCGGGGAAGGTTGTAGTCATTACGGTATACCAGGAAACTCTTCTTCACTGGCTGGTTTCCACTGCTGAAGCCATTAGCTGGTAAGTCTTGGTTGGGGGGAGGGAGAGGAGAGAAACAGTCAGGAAGATGTAGTCAGCGATGGCACTGGGGGTAGTAGGGACTTAGAACTTGGGCTTCCCTCTGTGCTGGAAAAGTCCTCCAACTCCGGCCAGGAGAGCTAGCTGTGGGCAGTGTCCACTACAGTTGGCCACAGCCCTGGCCCACCCCTCATACTTCCCTTGGCAGTTACTGGCCTTAGGACACAAATGGCTTAAAAAGCAGGAGATTACCCGAGGAGGGTAAGAAGAGAAAAAGTGAAGTAGTAAAGTGGAGGGGGGCCCTGGATGGGAATCTGGCTGGGTCAGTGTCTCTCGGCCTCAGCTTCTCCATCTGTAAAATGAGAGGATTCCTAAAGGCCCTTCTAGTTCTGACATTTTACAGACAAATGAAGGGATTAGCTTAGCTGGGAGTTATGTTAGGGAGAATGACAGTTTTGCTCACTCTCTTGGGGGGCTGGGTGATGGTGAGGCTCACCCATTGGGGGGTCTTCTGTGGACTTATCACTGTCGCTGTCTGAACTCGAACTGGGTCGGGGGCTCCTACCCCGCTTGCGCTGACGGAGGGAGCCCATGATGGGAAGTTGGGGGGGCCCCACAGGACTGCCTCCATGGCTGGGGGTCATCTGGCTCTCCCGGTTTTTGGGGGGCCGGCCCGGCCTCTTGGGCGGTCCAGCTGTCTTCGGGTTCTTTTTGGAGAACAGAACTGAGGTTCTCCTGCCCACCTCATGTGCGGGGGTTGAGGACATGTTGGGACCCAGGCCTGGAGCAGAGAAAGAGAGAAGTAGAGTTGGTGAGGGGTCTGATGTGGAAAGGGTAGATGTCCAGGGTCATGCCCTGGTTGCAAAAGATTACTCCAGCTAGAGTTGGGGAGATGATCTCAGGGGAATGGAATAGGGAACACTGTCCTCTTATACACATAGCCAGAGAGGCAGCTAAGAGCCCGATTGGGGAATAGGGGAGAAAGTGCAGCTAGCTGCGCAGGAGCGACCTCTGCCTGGGGGATGGCAGGGACTTGGTGTGTGCTGCAGAGCCAGTTTGGCTTGCTCTGGGGTCCAGCTTGCTTTGGGGTCCAGACCTTTGCTCGTCTCCTGGCTGCTGCTCTCCTCAGCGGCACTGTCTGTCTGCCCGTCCTTGTCGCAGGCTGCTGGGTGGGGTGTCAGACTGCCCCGGTTTGAGGGACCATGCCGCTCAGGCCCATCCCGTCCAGTCTCCCGCTGGTGGGCCAGCTTCCGCCGCAGTGCCGTCATCTCTTTCTTGATCATCTTTGCACGCCGTGAGCGGCCCACGCTCTGCTTGCTGGCATTCACCTCATCTAGTCGCTCCAGCAGCAACTTCAGCTGCTCTTCCACTGGCAAGTGCTTCTGGTTCTCCAGCAGGACCAGCCGCTCTTCTTCTGCTGCTATGGGTGAGGGTTGGAGGGTAAAGGACAGATTCAGGGCAGCCCTCTGGGCCCCTTGAACCTAAGCAGACAGCAAGTAACCCAGACTTTTCCCACCTCAGCTTCTCACCCAGAACAGCTGTAAATGGCAGCACCAAGCTGTGGAATGGTAAGCATTGCCATCCATCCACCCAGACTGGCTTCTTGGGGAACATTCCTAGGGACAGCTTGCCACTGCTCAGCCTAGTGCTTCCTGCCTACACTGCCTGCTTCCAGGAGGGGACTTTTTGAAAGCTGTCCATCCCAGGCATTGGCCTGTGTATGTGTGTATGACCTATCACCCACCATCTTCAGTGTGATGTGGGGCTTCATCTCCAGCCAGGCTGTGGGGGATATGCATGCCCGTCTCAAAGTCAATGCCCATTTTTTCTGCCTGGCGCCGGGCCTGGCGGAGCACAGCACCACCCTGTTCACGGAGCCGCACTGCTGCCCGGTAGAAGATGGTGTCCTTGGCATTGTACTTGAGGCAGTTGCTGACGATAAGGTTGAAGTCCTCCTCGAAATCATCAAAGTTCAGGTAGCGGTAAGCTTCCAAGTTCTGCTTCATGGTGAAAAAGTCCATGGGCTTTTTGATGTGGTCTAGGTAGTCAGGTACCTGGGAGAGCAGGGCAGGTGTGGCTAAGTGGAGATAAGCCCCTGACTTCCCCTGAACCCCTGCTCCTAACAAAACCCCCTGAAATGCATCCAGCAACCTCCTCCCACCACAGTTAGAGGCAGGCATATAGCATAGTGGAAAAGATAGCTGGATTCTAGTCCTGACTTTACCAGTCACAAGCTGTGTGACCTTGGCAAATCTCTTAAATCTTTCTGGGTCTTCATCTTCTCTCCTTGGAAAAGGTAATGAAAATACAGCCAAATCTACCTTCTAGAGCCATGTGACGTTTCAGTAAGAAAATGGCTAGCAGAATCCTCTGGAAATACCACTAACTTGCATTCCTTGCATTTTTATTTATCATTAAACTTATAAAGAGGCTGCTGCCTCAGGCCTCTCATTTTATACCTTTTAGAGAGAACAGTCTGCCAGTCAGGACCTAGGGCTTCAGAGCTGGTTCTTGGGGTGCTAAGCCTTCTAAAGTCTCCATTCTAGGGTTCGGCAACCTCAAAGTGTCTTCCTGCCCTGGGATTATTCATTTGGCAGACTCTGTCCCTGCCCCTTGGGAAAGAGTGCAGATCGCCTCCCATTCTGGGCCCTTGGGGTGTGACAGGGACAAGACAAAGACCAGGTGATGTGCCGTGTGGCTCCAGTTCATCCTGCCCCAGAGCCACCAGCCCCTCTCTTCAAGGTCCCCTCCTAGTCCCTGGCCCAGAACTGCAGCAGGGGTCCAACTGGGAGAGGAATAGAAAGAAGGTGGAGTGAGGGAAGGGATTCTTACTTCATCCAATTCGGTTACCTCAGACAGAGGGACCGGCTCGCTGAAGATGTTGCCCGTGTCCTTCTCTTGGAGCTGCTCTAAGGTTTTGCGAAGGAGGATGAGGAAAGGGGTCAGCTGCATCTCCATGGCAATCTGCTGGACCTTGATCTGACAGACACAAAAGGCCCCATCAGCCAGGCCCTTAGCAGAGGTATCTAAGGAGATGGTCCCAGGCTGGCTTGGGAACTTGCCTTCCTGCCCACCTCCACAGCTGGGTAGACTCACTGAGGTTCTACCATTCTTTAAGGCCCCACCCAGTGAAACTTTCCTCAACTACTCAGGCCCTCACCTTCCCCTTCCTTGAACTCCCAGCACTAGCTACTTGTACCACATAATTTAGGGTTCGTTCATACTCTCCTGTGACATCATGCTTCTAGTAGGCCCAAGAGCACACTGAGAGCCAGAAGATTCTAGCATCAGCCCTGTTGCCACCTGACTGAGGGACATGCTCTTCCTTCTCCTATGTCTGTTTCTCCTCTGTAAAATAGGGCTGGCCCAGGAGCACTAACCATCTCCCTTTTGAGCTTCTCCCGCTTGCGGATCAGTTCCACCAGCAGCCGAGCTCGCTCCAGATCGTGCCGGAGCCTCTGCCAGGACTTGAGCTGTTCTTTGAGGGCCCAGTTCTTATCCTCAGAATCTCTCTGTAGAGGCAAAAGGGAGATCAGGAGATGGTGAGGGAGCTAGAGGAAAGGCCAGAGTGGGTAGAGAACCCAGGGGAACTTGGGTCTACAGGCCAAGCCAAAGGAGGGAGCACACTGATTTACTGGCAGACACGCCAGCTAAAGTGGGCACTCCTCTACCTCATGTCCCCAGAGCCTGGCACAAGGCATACGCTTAGTAAATTCTTATTGAGTGAATGAATGAACATAAGGAACAATGCCCATCCATCAAGCTGATAACCTATAAGGACCTCATTCCCAAGCCCGGTTTGAAGGCAGCTTAACGAAGAAACAGCCTAAATCCTCTAAAACTGGAAGCAAATCTCTCTCTGTTCTCTGTCCCATGAACCCCAGAGCCCACAGGGGATCTGACACAGTACCCCAATTTGGTCACAGTTCCTCTGAGACTGCAGGTGTGTCTGCAGGCGACGTAGAAGTGGGACCCCGTTCCGTGACTGCCGCTTCAGTGTCCAGTAGCTGTGAAGCCTTTGCATGAACTGGCTCTTCCTCTGGATGGTCAGGCGATTGGTGATTTTGCTGAGCCTGGGAGGCAGAGGAACAAAGAGAAAAACCTGCTGGGCCCTGCTTCTCTTAAGCAGAATTGGGATCTCTGGCCAGTGAGAGTTCCTGAATGAGGCTGAACAGGGAATAAGTCTCTTGTCAAAAAGGCCTGGGACACTGGGATTAAAGCAAGGAGGAGCAAAGGGTGTCATCAGTGGCACCTCCGTAGGCAGGAAGCCAAGCTCCCAGCATTAAGCCAGCATCCCTAACCCTGTATATCACAGTCAGAGGGATCTGCCCCTAAGACTGCTCATGTCACTGCAGCCCAGAGTAATATTTGACCCTGGAATACCCCATTCAGATTGAGCCTTAGAAAGTTTTAAGAGAAAGCATAATTGTACAGCAGTAAACTACAGTATATCAGCTAAATAGCATGAAAGAGTTAAAAATAACTGATAATCATACCCAGATGAGTGACAGAAACCACTTCACAATTCTTTCCTTTTCTTTCTCCTTTTTTATTGCACTTCTCCCTTCATAGTCAGACTGTTTTCTCCTTTGTGGCTGGTGACTGCCCATTCTCTTTCTTCCTAACTTAACCACACCATCAAGATGAAGGGCAGTTAAACCACCTGTTTGGTCTACCAGATAAAGGTTTATGTTTCTGACTCATAATGTCAAAGTCAGGTGACCTGCTAAAGAGACCTCTTTCTGGAATTTGGTTGTTGTTACTTCTATGCAGATCCTGACAGGAAGAAGATAACTTAGCCCTGCCACTCCACTCTGGGACCTGTCAGTTCCTCCCCAGGAGGTCTTCTTCTTCCCTCACCTGCCTGTCCACCTGTGCCCGGCATACCTGTGTGGTGGGATGCAGGGCACCGACACCACAGGTGCTGCTGCTCGCTTCTCTGCCAGGATCTTCCGCGCCTTCTTCATCTTGATCCGGGACTTGGCCTTGGCCTTCTTGACTTTCTCTGAGCTCCAGCTTTTACCCTCTTCCTCCTCTTCCTCCTCATCCTCTTCACCCTCGCTATGGGACAGGGCAGGCAGGCGGCGCGCTGAACCTGGGGGTGTGTGGATGTCGCAGTAGGCCGTCTTGCGGACACTGAAGGAGGTGCCATTGGCACCTGTCTCCCGCACGGGCTCCATCTTCATGTAAAGGCCAGCCTGTTGGGCGCATGTCACATGGAAGGCCGTGTAGCAGTTGGCCTTGTGGCACTGGATGCAGGCCCCTGAGCCCCGCTGTTTGCAAATGTAGCAGGTAAGCTTCCAGCGAGCTGGTGGGATGTGCTCGATGCTGTCAATAGGCTCTAGGAAGACTGTGTTGGCAAAGCAGACCTCGGGGATCCACAGGGCACACACCACATGGGCCCAGCGCCCATCATCTGTCTGCTTGAAGGCACCACCCTTGTTGGGGCACAGGGCACAGTCCACAGCACGGGAGGGTGACTGCAGGCAGCGGCGGCACAGCCACTGGCCCTCAGGAATGTAGGGGACACCATAGCACTCCTGGTGCACGGCCAGGTTGCACATGTCACAGAAGAGGATGACGTTGCTGTTCTGGCACTCACCATCATTGCAGATACAGCACACGGCATCCTCATCCACTAGCGCATTGGGGTCGCCTTTATTGTGGCTCTCAAAGTATGACTCCTTCTCCAGCCGGTCCATTAGGTACTCAAAGATCTCCTGCGGGATGGGACTCACACCCTCTGTCTTCCGCCGCTCGTTCATGATGTCCAGCCAGATGTAGTCCTCCTCGTCCATGTCATACTCTACTTCCTCGTCCAGCTCCTCTGCTGACTTCTCAATGTACCTGCAGTGCACACAGGTAGTTTAGCATCATATGGTTGAGATTTCCTTCCCTTAAAAACAATTAGTTACATTTGCCAAGCACTTACTCTGTGCTAGGCCTGTGCCTTTACATATGTTGTCTCATTCCATCCTCACCTTAACCTGAGGTACTACGGTACTATAATCATTCTAATTTTACAGAAAAGGAAACCTGAGGCTTAGGAAAGTTAATTCACCTGCCCCACCTCACTTGTGAAAAAAGGGTAGAGCTGGGACGTGACCCCAGACCTGCCAATATCAAGGCTTGTGTCCTAGCTGCTACATGACACTGCCTCCCTTGGGGTGCAGAGGCTCAGCTAGAGTCTGGAAGGGGGGATGGGGCAGCTAGGACCCACTGGGGTGGTATGGATGACAGTGCGAAGAGTCAGGGGAAGAAAGGTCCTTGGGTGTCACTTGCAAATTATATACAGGTCATTTTAGCACCAGCTGGCAGGGCCCTGACTATAGGCAGGGCTTGGAGCTGCTGTGGGTCTTCAGTCAGCTGGTCCCTGCGTCAGCTCAGGGCTCCCTCAAATGCTAGGTACTGGTTTGCTATGTTTGCAACCTGGATAGCCTTGGGTAGTTCTCACCACAGCCATAGGGTCAATGTTCTCATTGTCCCCATTTTATAGATGAGGAAACCAGGACTTCCAAATCGTTTGGCCCTGGTGGAAATTTGCTTTTTTAACAAGTTCCCTGCTGAGAATCTGCATTTCTACCCCAGACATACTGAATCAGAACCTACATTTTAACAAGATCCCTGGGTGATTCTTATGTATAACTTCCTGGGAACTTGTTAGAAATGTAAATTCAAAGCAGGGATCCGAAGCCCTGAAGGAAACCGAAATTTTGAGAGGTTAATTAACTGCCCAACACAACCAGGTCACACAACCAGAAAGTGGCAGAGCTGAGATTCAAACTTTAGCCCCAGCACTCTTAACCTCCAGCCTATAGCACTCAGGCCAGCAGGACTGGAGCTGAGGGCTGCCCCAGGTGCCTGTGATACAGAGCAAGCTCCCCATTCCCTGGCCATGCTCTGGGTAGCTTGGACTCTGGTACTGTAAAGCTATGGCCCACAATGGTTAAGAACGGGGCTTTGGCTTCTAACAAACGTGGATTTAAATCCTGGCTCTGCCACTTTATGACCTTCAGGACATCACTGCTCTTCTCTCAACCTCAGTTTCATTGATGACAGAATGAAGATAATATAAAGATGCTGTCAGGATTAAATGGAATTACAAAAATGAATGGGCTAAATCAAGTGGCACACAGCAGGCCTTAGATAACTGTTAGTTCCTGTCCCTCCTCTCCCCTCTCCACATGGGAAATGGGGCTCTGGCTGCTGAGTAGGCCAGGAGAGCATAGGATCTGGAGCCACATTGCCTGGGCTCTGTATGTTGGTAGGCAAGTGACCTAACCTCCCTGGGCCTTAGTTTCCTCCTCTGTAAAACGGTGATGCTCATTTGAACCTATTTCACACTCTGTTATGAGCATGAAATGAATGAATGCAAGTAAAGTACTGACAGCAGTGCCTGGCATGTAGCAAGTACTCAATAATTGTTAGCTTTACCATTAGCTTTTGAACAGCTTTTACCCACCTTGCCTTATACAATAATTGTTTATGTGTCTAACTTTTCAAATACAGGATAAAGGCAAGGACAATATCTGATTTCACCATGGAGAAACAAGCACTCAATATTCATTTAAAGGGCATTTTGAGGGTGGAAAAAGGGAGGAAGGAAACAAAAACATTGTATCTATAGGAAGCAGCTGCTTTTTCACCCTTTACTTCTTCCCCAAGGTAACTGCAACATCTTTATTCTTGAATGAGAGTGAGGCTCAGGGCTTGTGTGAACCATCCGGTCCCTTCTAGACCTTGGCAGTAGCTCTCTTGAGCAGCAGTTCTCAACCTTTTCTCTGCCATGACATGTGACATTATGTGATGGTGCACAACACACTCCCATAGGGCACTCAGATTATAGCCTGTGGCCCAGATAAGGTAGGCTGTATGTCATGTACAATTTCTGGCACACTAGCCGACAACCGACCCTTTCTCTTCCCCTCAAGAAAGCATATCAGAATCCAAATAAGATAAAATGATGTTATTAGAGAAATGACCTCAAATCTTCTTTGATTTGTATAAAAAGTAAATCATTTCCAAAACTTGGGCAGTGTTCCACTAACAGCAGTTACAAATTACATGCAACACATCTCCCAACTGATAGCAGTGCACCAGCTGAGAGCTGTTGCCCCAGGAGGCAAAGAGTGAATCTGAGTAGAGGGAGGAAGAGAAGGAACTGAATGGCTGGGCTGCCTATCAGAGCAGAAAGAGCTGAAGAGCCATTATGAGGGAGGGGAAGCCCAGAGAAGAGTCTGTTTGTGTATGTGGCAGGGGGGTCAGTGGTTGAGGGGACATGGCAGTCAGTGCTAACAGACAGACAGCGGAAAGCCAGAACGAAGTGAGCTGGGCTGAACAGATGAAATAGGAGAGAGGAAAGTGACACATTGGGCCATATCACGTGGGTTCCCATAGATTTGCTTTTAAAGAACAAAGATTTAATATAACATGTGGATTACAGTTCTGGTAAAAACTGTCTTTAATATAAAAACCTTTCTGACAAATCCCTGCAGATCAGGCCTTCTCATTAGTTGACAACAAAGACTGCTACTTAACTATCTCATCAGAATGCTCTGTTTGCCTTGGATGCTGCGACTGTCAGACATGAATTTTATACCTCGTTTTTGTACCATCCTTCAGCTTCACAACCCACCCCATTCACTTTTACCTCATGTTCAAGGAATTTAGCCTTATTGTACCTATGCCTTTATTAGAAGCCACTGTGACTAATCTTTGGAAACAACTGGGGTACAAAGAAACAATTACTTGAAATAAAAGGGCCACTGGAGAAGTACAAAACACAAAGTGATGAAAATATTGCTTAAGCCTGCTAAATGATGAATGACAATAGCAGAACAAATCATAGGAAAATTGTCTCTGTAAACTTGCAAACTGTTTTTAGGACCTTATGAAATCAGTATTTTCTGCCTTTAGGCAGGCAGAGAAATATTGTGCCCATTATGCAGATGGGTTAGTATAAAACCAGAAGTTGCATGAGTTGCACAAGTCACACAGTGAGTGAGTGGAGAGCGTCAGGGATTGGAAACAGGATCTTTGGTACAGTGGAAATACTGCAGCTTTGGAAACAGAGGGGCCTGGGTTTGAATCTCAGTTCAGCTATCTACTGGCACGTGACTTTCGACAAGTCTGGTCCCCTTTCTGGACTGCAGTTTGCTCATCTGTGAAATGAGGACAATACCTACCTGAGTGTTGATGTGAGAATAAAATAAAGGAGTGGCTACAAAGCACCAATAGAGGTCCCTGGGTAGCACAAATGGTTTGTGCTCAGCTACTGACTGAAAGGTTAGTGGCTCAAACCCACCTAGTGGTGCCAAGAAAGGCATGGAGATCTGCTCCTGTAAAGATTACAGTCAAGAAAACTCTATGGAGCAGTCTGCAACACACGGGGTTGCCATGAGTTGGAATTGACTCAACAGCAGTGGGTTATAAAGCACCGAATGCAGGGCCTGGCATGTGGCAGTGTACAATAAGAGCCATCATCATTAGCTGGGGCAGTTTCTTTCACTGCTCTGGTAGGACCAGTGCGTCTCCTCTATCCTTTATGCCTGACACTCTCCCATCTGCTGCCTTACACCTCTCTGGCTCCTGAGCCCTGTTTGACTGGTTTTCCAGAGTTGGGGCCAGGGGTGGCCTTACCGGTAATAGGAAGTTGGCCGGGGCGGGGCATCAGGGGTATCCTGCTCCAGCTCTCGGTATACCACCTCTGGCAGCTTGGGAGTAGCGCTCGCAGAAGCATTATGGTGGTGATGATGGTTGGAGTCCTTGCGTTTCTCCTTGTTCTTATGCTTGCCCGACTTGGGAGTGGCAGCCGGTGTCTCGGTGTTCTCCTTGTTGCTGCCATTCTCTGGGGCTTCTTCTGGGGCCTCCTCATCCTCTGACACTACATCCAGGTTATCAAAGATGCTGATGCGGTGGACACGGCCATGCAGGTCCACCTCCACCATGCGCTGGGCCTGTGCGTAGCTCATCACCTCACGGCCTGGTGACTGTGACACCTCCGAGGGGCTGGGTGACTGCTTGTTGGCTGGGCGCGACTGGCGTCCCTTCTTCTTGTGCTTGCGGAGTGGAGTCTGCTGTGGGGGCGGCGGGTTGTCGTGGTCATAGTGGTACAGGTGGTACTCGATACCGCTGTAGCTTTTATAGACCTTGCGGCATGTGTCCACGGGACACTCATACGGTGGCTTAGTTGCCCGCAGGTTGTGGCAGAAAGTCTTCACATCAAAGTCCACCCCCATGCTGTCACAACTAGAACACAGATATCAGTTAGCATAGGTCTGGGGAGGGGTTCCTGGCCACTGCATCAGGGACCCCACTTTCTCCTGCCCTCCCCCTCCCCCTTCCCAAAGGTCACCAGGTCCTGGCCATCCCACCTCTACAGCATTTCCAAATGCCATCTCTTCCACCATGGTCCTGGTCTGGGACCTCACTGCGTCTTGCCTGGTCATCCTGCCCTATGTCTAAACTCCCCCCTCTAGCTAAATCTCACATAATGCAGCCTGAGTGATCCTTCTACCAACTAACAACGATCATGCCAATCTCTTGATTAAAACCCTCCAGATGCTCCCCACTTCCTTCAGGATAACATTCAAATTTCCTCTGATGGCATTCAAAGTCCTCCGTTCACCGTCTGGCCCTAGTCCTCCTTTCCAGATGCTTTACCAGGTAGAGCTGTGCTTCTGTTTATCCCAGGCAACTGGCCATTCTCTGAATATGTAATAACCTCTTAATTCCTGTAGAATGAATTCTACTTAGAATGCCCTCCATCCTTTCTGATTTGTAAGCTCCTACTCAGTTCTTCAAAACCCAGCTCAAAGGTCACTTCTTCTGTTATGACATCTTTGACTCTCCTGTGGGAGCTTTCCTTCCACAGCATCCCATTCTCACCTCCACCATGGCACTTATCTGTCAAGGAGACTTGTCTGCCTCCTCTCACTAGACTGGGAGCTTGCACAGTGCAGATGTGCCTACTTACCTCTATATCCTTGAAAAATCTGTTGACGTCGAGTCGATTCTGACTCATAGCAACCCTAATGGACAGAGGAGAACTGTCCCACAGGGTTTCCAAGGAGTGGATGGTGGATTTGAACTGCTGACTTTTGGGAACTCTTAACCACTGTGCCACTAGGGCTCTATATCCTTAGTACCTGGCATATACTGAACACTCAGTTTTTGGTGAATGAATGAATAACCTGTCAAATGAATGGCTGAATGAGGGAATCACTGGATTTGGAGCTGAGAGCGATGGAATGCAGGCTAGCATTAGCCCATGCAGAAACTTGAATAGGTGGCGAAGGACTTGGATCACTGGATTATAGAAAGAATCAGTTCATTTCTGAGGCCTTTAGGGGGAGCCTATGCCCTTGCCCTGGGACTGAGTTGGGGGATGTACTAAGGAGCCAAGTGAAAACTGAGGTCATTTAGTCAGGGCCAGTAAGTAGCATGTTTTACATTTGCACCCTTCACCCATTCGTGTAACATCAACTGAGTGCCTACTAAGTGCAAGGTCCTAAGGATACTAACAGGACCATGACAATCAGACACACTCAGCTCCGTGCTGTTGCTCAGGGGCCCTCCCTTCCTCCTCCTCAATGTTCCGGGGTGAGTGGAGACAGCAGATGGTACCAGCCCCCAGGAAGCCCAGCTTGGTTACAGACTGCCCCAATTTCTCTCGGCCTAGTTGAGTCCAACAATTCATCTGGGGGATTGACTCCATCCCAGGCAAAGCTACCCTGAGCTCCCGGACAGTGGCCCCTCTTGGCTTCTGGCCTCCTGAGGCTTAACCAGTCAAATGGGCTGCTCCAGGCCCTCTCTCAACAAACCCTGACTCCCACACTGAGTAAAGCTACACGTTCAATTCCAACTCGCTTCCACTGCCTATCTGCGGATGTGTCTTTAAACCAACAGGAAGCACAAACAAGCTCTCCTCTTTCGATGCTGGGTCCCCGGTGAACGCTGCGGCTCTGCCATCCTGGCTTCTGACCCGGCAGCAGCAGAGGCAGAGGGGACGGAGATCAGAACTTAACCTGAAAGCCCGTGGGGAGGGCCCGGGGCCCAGGAGTGTGGCGGCTGCAGCTGCTCCCATAGCTCAGAGGGCCGGAGGAAGTAGGGGGCGGGGGCCGGAGGGACCAGGCCGGGCCCCAGAGGTGCCCACAGCCCTCTCTCCCGGATGCGGCGGCGTTTCCCCTTTGTCGAAGTGTAACAAGTTAAACAAGGCTCCTCTCCTGCCATTGGCCCAGGCAGCTCCGAAGGATACAATGTTACCCCTGGATGTCGGCTGGGAGCCAGCGCACTGTCAGTTCTCCCGGCTGGAGCGGCCCGAGAGGCACCCGGACCGTGCAGCTCAGTGCGCGCCCCCACGAAAGTAGCTTACCCCTTTCCCGTTGGCCACTCCCGCCAAGGTCCCAGGCCCGCACTCACCGGCCACCTCGAGTCCGGGCTCATCGCCGGGGGCGCCCGCCGGGGCTCCGACCCCTCTTGGGGAGGCCGGCGGGGAAAGACGGACCGGGAAGCTGGAGCCCCAACTCCGGGACCACAGACCTCGCCACCCTGGCCCCCAGCCGTCCCGCGCTCTGGCCGCAGTTCCCCGGGATTCCCGCGCTGACCCCTGCCGCTCCGGTCCCGCCGGCGCCTGGGTGTCTCGACTCCGTCGGCCGCGGCTGTCTGCCGCCCGTTTCGCGAGCCCCTGGGTTGTCCGGCCTCGGGACCAGGCGCCGCCGGAACAATGGAGCCTCCGGGAGGCAGCGCGGGGACGGCGGCGGCGGAGACGGTGGCGGCAAAGACAGTGGCAGCGGCGGCAGCAGCAGCGGCGGCGGCGACGGCGTCTGCGCAGGGTAAACGCGGCGCCGCGGCCCTGCCGAGCTGCACTTTCGCCATGGACTCCCACCCGCCCGCTGAGGCTCGATGGCTATTTTCTGAGACTCTGAAGGCCCTCTGGACACCCTGAAAGGCTTCCCTGGCCCCTCTATCGTACAGCTGAGTTTTTGGCGGAATGAAATCATGGTACTAGGGAAGTGGGGGCACCGGGCCGTTTGTGGCGAATCTGCGGCCACAGACTGTGAGCGCGGGGCTGGGCGTAAGGAGCCCGCCCTTCTCCCCTCCCCCTCTACGCCCTCCCTCTCTCCTCCCGCTGGCGCCACGGCTGCGGTAGGGACTTGGCGTCCGAGAAAGGGGCCGAGGCGGGGCCGGATCCACGGGGCGGAGCTGGGGGCAGGGCCCAGAGCAAGAGCTTTGGAGCTGCCCCATAAGGAGGTCCCGGGGTTATGGGTAGCGGCGGGGTGGGGCTGGAAGAGAATAGACCGGTTTATGGGGCCAATAAGCAACAACTGGACCAATGAACAACATGATAAACGGAGAAAAGATTGAAGTTGTCAAGAATTTCTACTTAGAACCACAATCAACGTCCATGGAAGCAGCAGTCAAGAAATCAACGTATAGCATTAGGCAGATCTGCTGCAAAAGACCTCTTAGAAATATTTAAAAGCAACGATGTCACCTTGAGGACTAAGGTGCACCTGACCCAAGCCATGATATTTTCAGTCGGCTCATATGCATGTGAAAGCTGGACAAGGAATAAGGAAGACCGAAGAAGAATTGATGCCTTTGAATTATAGTGTTGGCAAAGAATATTGAATGTACCACGGACTTCCAGAAGAATGAACAAATCTGTCTTGGAAGAAGTACAGCCGGAATGCTCCTTAGATGCAAGGATGGCGAATCTTCTTCTCACTTACTTTGGACATGATATTAGGAGGGATTGTCCCTGGAAAAGGACATCATGCTTGGTAAAGTAGAGGGTCAGTGAAAAAGAGGAAGACCCTCAAGGAGATGGATTGACACAGTGGCTGCAACAGTGGTCTCAAACATAGCAAACGGTTATGAGAATGTCGCAGGACAGGGTCATTACGAGTCGGAATGGACTCCCGGGCACCTAACAACAGCAATGGGGCGGTGTTTGCAGAGAGTGGGTGGAGCTTCTTGTATAGCGGGGTCCAGTAAGGAGGAGGATAAGGATAGAGCTAAGGTAAAGGGCGGAGAGGGGTTAATCAGAAGTATCGGCTTCAGAAAACGTAAAGGGGCGGGGCCTTGGATAGGCCTGAAGGGCGGAGCTGGACTAGAGATGAAGGATAGATCTGGGACGAACCTAGCAAGGCCGTTGGGGATAAGGGCGGGGCTTGGGAAAGGTAAAGGGGCAGGGCTGGAAGGAAAGGGCGGGGCCGTTTAGGGATAATTGGTCTTGACTGAAGGAAAGGGAAGGAGCTTGGGAAAGATGAAGTTGTAGAGCTGGAGGGAAGGTGTGGATCTGAAGGAAGAGGCGGGGTTTTGAGAGGAGCAGGGGAGCTGGTAGAGAGTGAAAACGCTTGTGTAGGTAAACTGGTGGGATTAGGTGCTAGAAACCTGCGGGATGGCGGGGAAATGCTACGTGCTGCTGCTTAGAAGATGGTGTCAAAACCAACAGAGCTGGTTTGAATGTGACTGGACTACTTCCTGGCTATGTGAACTTGGGCAAGTTGTTAAATTCTTCCTATCTCAAGTTCCTTATTTGTAAAATGGAGCTCAAAAGCTCTATTGTCAGTTCTTCGGGGCTTCAGAGAACTTGGATGCCAGATACAGGTTAAGATCTTAGGCTTGCAGTCGAACTGATGAGTTCTATTAAAACACGTGACTTCACCTCTCTGAGCCTCAGTTCGCTTAGGTGTAAAACAGGGGTAATATATGTTACCTACCTCACAGGGTTGTTGTGAGGATTAAATGAGATGATGATTGTAAATCACTTAATAGAGCGTCTGATATGTAGTAAATGCTCAAAGAAAACGTTAGCTGTTCTTATTGTCAGAAAACTCAGAATAAATGGATCAGAGCCGAGTCACACAGTCATCTTACATCTTTGGAGGTCAGGAACCCCTCTGAGAATCTGATGAATGCTATGGTCCTTTCTCCTCAGAAAAAAATGTACACACGAAGTTTCACTTATCTTTTCTGCAAATGTTTGAAGAATGTAGAAAGAAGTGGTTGGATGAATGTGTGGTAGGATGGTGACGAGTCCTTGCTGAAGCCATCCTTACTCCCTCCCTCTCTTGGTGTGGCCCCAGGCCCTGGGTTCCCCAGTCTTCTGCCCCAAGACTCATGAGACACAGGTGGAGTAAAGATCAGCTTTATTATTGGCATGAAGGCAGGGAGGTGGTGGTAGTGCCAAGCCCTTCTGTGGGTGGGCTCTCCCGGTGAGGTCCAGGGCTCCAGGTCCCTCTGGCTTTCAGCAGAAGCAATGGGTGAGCAGGCAGATAGACCGCTAGGCATTGGATAGCTGGGCTTCTCAGGGCTGCTCTGGAATCGGGGTCGGGCTGGGGTTGGCAGGGGGTGGGGGCCGAGGCTGGATGTCCCTGGTCCGCATGTAGGACAGCAGCTGCTCTGGGATCTCAGCGAGCACGTCCTTGGCCAGCCGGGCCATGCTTAGCACCTGGTTCCCTGACCGGTCGACGTAGTCTCGGAATGGGACGAACTGGGACAGGCACAGAAAAGACAGGTATGGGTGGTAGGGAGAGAGGAGGGTAGGGACGGGAACAGAGGGAAGGTCTTCTACCTCTCCCCGCCCCCCCCCCCGCCATCTTGGACAGTTTTCTACATTTGCTGTCCCCTTTTCTTCTTTTTTTTTTAACCTTCGGCTGCTAATCGAAAGGTTGGCGATTCAAACCCACTAACTGCTCTATGGGAGAAAGATGTTGGAATCTGCTTCTGTAAAGATTACAGGTTTGGAAACCCTATGGGGCAGTTCTACTCTGTCCTATTGGGTTGCTATGAGTCGAAATCAACTTGCCAGCAACGGGTTTGGTTTGGCTTTTGGTATTCACCCTCACCCCACTCCAGTATGGCTTCACGCTTCACTGAAACTGCTCTTGCTAATGTTGTCAGTAGCCCCATGTTACCAAATCAATTCAGTGGACAACAATTTTGTCACTATCTTGCTTGATTTCTCGTTAGGTTTCCATTATATTTGACCATAATCCTTGACACAGCACACTCTTTTTCTTTTTTTTAAACACATCACACTCTTGACACTACACTCCTTTGGTTCTTCTCCTACCTTTCTGGATGCTCTTCCTCTCCTTCCCCTCTATTTCTCCAGATCTACCTGACTGCTAAACCTAGTCCCTCCTCTCTCAACTCTTTGCCTGAGTGATTTTATACGCTTCCATGACTTTAAAAACTGTTCCCTCATGACTCCCAAATTTATATATCCATCCTTGGCCTCTATTTTAAGGTTCAGAACCACATATTAAACTGCCCATATCACATCTCCATGCATTTGCCTCACAGATACCTCAAGCCTAATGTGTTCAAAACCAAATTCTAGCTCTTTCTGCCAAATCTGCTGGTCCTCCAGCCTTCCCCATCCCAGTAAATGGGGTCATCACTTACCCAGTTGCTCATGTTAGAAAACTAAGTCATCCTCGACACCTCCCTTACCCCCCGCCATCTAATTAAATCATCAACTCTTGTAGATTATTCCTCTTCAATATCTTTTGAAACTTTTCCTTCTTTCCATCCTCACTGTTTCTGCCCTCGTCCAGATCCCTACTTCAAAGACTTCCTCACTAACAGGTCTACCTGCCTTCCCTCTTGCCCTGCTACAGTCTACCCTCCAAACAGCAGCCAGAGAGATCCTCTTAAAATACCAGTCTGGCTATCTCACTCCCCTATGTAAAATCCTTCAGTAACTTTCCAATGTTTTTAGAACAAAACCCAAATCTTTGCCATCACCTGCAAGGCTTTGGCTCCTTCTAACCCTTGTTCACTGTGATCCTGCCCCCCTGGCTTCCTGCCTTTTCCTTGATTGGGCCAATTCTTCTAAGCCTCAGGGCTTCTCCTGTGCTATTCTTCTGCCTGTAAGCTTGTACCCTCCTATTCATCCTTCAGGTCTCAGCTCAAATGTCATTTCCTCACAGAAAGCTTCCCTGACTGCCCTAAGTCAGGTCCCCTGTTATAGGCTATCATAGTGGCATTTGCTCTTCCTCTAGATCATGTATCTCAATCTAATAAGATGTTTATCTGTGTGATTATTTGTTTATTATTGGTTGCCCCATGGGAGGGCAGGGACCTTGGGGACCTCTTTTATCATGAGTCCACAATGGCTCCAGCAACTTGCCAGTTTCTCAAAGGGAATTCGTTCAATGAGTGCAGGAAGGATTGAAGAGTGAGAGGGAGAAAAGCGATTGAGAAGTCAGTAAGGGAAAGTGGCTCCCAACTTAGCTTCTCCTTCCGACCATGCCTTTCAGCTCCATGAACTCCTCTCCCAAGCCAGGTCTACCTGAACGATGTCCCGCTCTGCGTAGCGTCCCCTAGAGGATACGCGCACGTCATCACCATCCAATTCTTCCATTGCTGCAGATAAGACACCTCTCAGCTGATTGGCTTCTTCCACCCCAACTCATGCCACCTCTCCCTCGTATCTCCCTTCAGAGTCATCATGAGAATGCCTAATGGTTGCATCAAAGTCCTACAAATATTAGGCATTGTGATGGTGTTATTATTATTATGTCTTCCCACACATTCATTCTCCCAGAAACCCCAGAGG